ATTCTTTATAGCAATAGGAATATGAACAATTATTTGAATAGTACTTTTGGTAGTTGCCAAAAATCTTATTTTTCTTCTTAAATTTTTCGCTTAATCAAATATCAGTATATAAAATAAAACAGATGGATTTTTTTTTTATATATATATATATATATATATATATACACAATCGTTTGTAAGCGAAATAAATATTACGGGCAATAATATTGCTGAACAATTATGCAATTATGTTACAATAATTCATATTGTATAAAAAACATAAATGTACTTTTTATGTATCAAGTAATCTTATATAAGTTCTGGTAGTAGTACTCTACAAGCGTGCATGTTTTTCCTGTAGGACTTTAAATTTTTATATTTTACGTAAAAGACAACTAATTTAGAATGAAGAAATACTTTCAAGAATTTAAAATTGTAACAAAGGTGTAGACTATGGACGAATGACTAAAAGCTATTTCTATCATAAACCAAACCTAGTAATAATAAGGACCTAGAGAGATATTACTATATATATATATATATATATATATATATATATATATACACTTAGCTAGAAGAGAACAAGAAAATTACTTTTAGCAAAAAAAAAAAAAAAACCAAGAAAATTACCGAATGCTGTTGACACCTCAGTAGAAGAAACTAAAGTTAATGCACGTTAAAGTAAATGTACAATGAAATATAAGTGTTTAGTTCATGTTTGCCTTGATTAGTTAAATAATATAAACAGTTTGATAAATTGTGAAGGAAAATTAATTTCTTGAAGAGAAAAAGGTCTTTGTATTGGTCAAAATCTGATCGCTGCAGTCGGTCTGATCAAGATTCCGTCCAAGCAACGAGATAGTGAAGGACGACATGGTTTGCTCCAAAACCCCGCTCATAATGCCCGCCGTGACGAAGAACAACACTCAGAGAACGACGAAACCGGACGTCGTACGAATTTGTATTGGCCCATAGTGAGAATTCCATAACTATATATAGGGGAGGAGTCTCTCAAGAGAAGTGGGGCTTTTTCTCTCTCTTATTTCTCCTCTGTAACTTTCTCAGAAAGAAAAATCTTCCCATGCAAGACAAAAGCAGTGATCTTCATCTATCAAATGAACGAAGAAATGGCAAACATCAATGAGATCAATCACCCCTATTCCATTTTATGCATTATTTTCCGATTCGTTTATAGATCTGGAGGTTATTAGTCTTGACTAAGATTTACCCCTTCATTTTTCTTTGATTGATTTGTTCAATAAGGTTACAATATCTTTTGAATCAAACAATTTGGCGCCGTCTATGGGGATTTCTTAGTGAAAACCTCCTAGTCTCCTCCAGATAGAAAATCGGAAACACGATCACCCGCCAAGAAGAACAGTAAGCGAATCTCACGCACCAGCCTAGATCATGGTGCTATATGCAAACAAAAGTCGCAACAAACATCATTCCCCGCATGCCGGGCAACCCATGAACCAGTCAAAACAAGCCTGGACCGCACTAAGTCAAGGCACAAAAAGGAAGAGGAGGAGAACCGAATACGGTTACCAAACTCGGAAAACACCATCATCGTCAACTATCAGAGCGTCAAGCAGAGCAAGCAACGCCACCGCTCCACCTTCGTTCGCCAACTCATCAAATCGGGATAAGGAGGATATCATCCTAACCCCCCTTCTGCTGACTGCCCAAACAAGAACGTAAGCGCAGCACGAGCGAGCAAGCAGGGAAACATCCCAACTAAAGAATAGGTAATTATTACAGAACCACCAAAGTATCGTCCACCAGACAAACCTGACGCCTCGGAAGTAATACCCTTCGAACGAAAGATGTCCCAAGAAAGCCTTCCTGAGTATTTAAACATCAGGCCAACCGGGAGGAACCCCCTTGAGGTCAAAGCATAATTCATCGTCCCACCCGCCAATGACATCTCAAAACCGGGGAACGAAAAGGTTAGACGGGAAAACTCCAATATGTGTATAAAACGAGTGCGAGCTAAATAGCAGCGTTTCCTTCCTTCCGGTATCACGCTCGCCGACGCAAGTGAAATTAAACCAACCCGGACTCGTCCCTAAAGTCCCTACGGGCTGAGTGAGTCACCAATCCACACGGCACCCCGAGATGACTAACGGCAAGGCCAAGCATGAAGCTGTGGTTGCGAGGCTGAAATTAGCCCTTTTAACGTGGCACTCGATGACTCGCCTCCATTGCGACTTTCAACTCGTAACGAATCTAGTCACTGGGACTTTCTAAGTAAAAGTAAAAAACAGGGACTACAGAAGTACCAGCATGAAATCCACAAACTGCAACCGGAATTCGACGAATGCCACCTCGATCGGATACCTAGGGCGCAGAATATCGCAGCGGATAGTCTCGCCAAGCTAGCGGCAGCCACCAAAATATCAAGGAAAGCGCGATCACCCTCCTCCATTCCTCGATGGACCAGGTCGAGGTACATTCTGTAAACCTAAACTTGGGACTGGCGCAACCGTACCGTATCACATTTGCAGAAGAAGCACACGAGGGACACTGTGGTGCCCATACGGGAAACCGTGTTCTTATCAGATGCCTCGCCCGCGCAGGATATTACCGGCCTACCATGAAAGAAGAAATCGCAGATTACGTCAAGAAATATGAACAATGTGAAAAATACGCCCCTATGATACACCAAACAGGAGCTCTCACATTCCGTCACTTCGTCATGGCCATTCTTAAAGCGAAGGATAGATATTGTCGGACCCCTCCCACCAGGGCGAGGTAAGGTACAACCCCTTTTGGTTTTTAACTGACTATCCTTTTAAGTGGGTGGAAGCAGGTGCATACACTCAAATACGTGAGCAACAAGTTATCGCGTTCATACGGAAAAACATAATTTGTCGCTTCGACATTCCCGAGGAGGTTAGTTGTGACAACGGACCTCAGTTCGTCGGAAAGACAACAACCGAGTTAAAAAAAGTTGCCCATCTCAAATACTCCCACTTCTGAAAAGAGGCGCCTCCAAAGTCGTACTTTTTTTCCCTCGTCCGGGTTTTGTCCCAAGAGAATTTTCTCGGTGAAGTTTTTAATGAGGCGGCAAGGGAGACGCCTCGAAGTCCGAAGTGTTGTTCATCACTCCGCCCATCGACACGATCTCCAGGCCGAGTAATGAAGGGACCAGGCATAGATAGCCAAATCTCCACTGTACGTATAAAGTCAGCACATGTTTCCTACAAGGATGTAATCAAAATCTCCGATGTATGAATGAAACTAGTATCCACGATACTCCAACAAATCTCCAATGTATGATTGAAACTAGTATCCACGATACTCCAACAAATCTCCAATGTATGAATGAAACTAACATCCACGATACTCCAACAAACAGAATAGAGCGCCACCCTCACGACGGGATACTACTTCAACGCCAGTTCGAAAGTAACATCCCAATGGCTAAGGCCATCGACAAAAAGAAAAAGTTCAACCTCGACCGAACGACGACGGGTTAACATTTCGACAAAAGATCAAAATGACACCCTTAAGGCCAAGGGCTTCCGCCAAAAAGAAGAGTTCGACCTCGATCGAACAACGACGGGTTAAAATTTCGATGAAAGATCGAAATGACACCCTTAAGGCCAAGAGCCTCCGCCAAAAATAAGAGTTCGACCTCGATCGAACAACGACGGTTTAACGTTTCGACGAAAGATTAAAATGACACCCTTAAGGCCAAGGGCCTCCGCCAAAAAGAAGAGTTCGACCTCGATCGAACAACGACGGGTTAATGTTTCGACGAAATATCGAAATGACACCCTTAAGGCCAAGGGCCTCCGCCAAAAATAAGAGTTCGACCTCGATCGAACAACAACGGGTTAACATTTCGACGAAAGATCGAAATGACAATTTTAAGGCCAAGGGTCTCCACCAAAAAAGAAGAGTTCGACCTCGATCGAACAACAACGGGTTAACATTTCGACGAAAGATCGAAATGACACCCTTAAGGCCAAGGGCCTCCGCCAAAAAAGAAGAGTTCGATCTCGATCGAACAACGAAGGGTTAACATTTCGACGAAAGATCGAAATAACACCCTTAAGGCGATCAAAAAACGAAGGGTTAACATTTCGACGAAAGATCGAAATGACACCCTTAAGGCCAAGGGCCTCCGCCAAAAAGAAGAGTTCGACCTCGATCGAACAACGACGGGTTAACATTTCGACGAAAGATCGAAATGGCACCCTTAAGGCCAAGGGCCTTCACCAAAAAGAAGAGTTCGACCTCGATCGAACAACGATGGGTTAACATTTTAACAAAAGATCGAAATGACACCCTTAAGGCCAGGGGCCTCCGCCAAAAAAGAAGAGTTCGACCTCGATCGAACACCGATGGGTTAACATTTTGACGAAAGATCGAAATGACACCCTTAAGGCCAAGGGCCCCCGCCAAAAAAGAAAAGTTCGACCTCGATCGAACAATGATGGGTTAATATTTCGATAGAAGATCGAAATGACACCCTTAAGGCCAAGGGCCTCCGCCAAAAAGAAGAGTTCGACCTAGATCGAACAACGACGGGTTAACATTTTGATAAGAATCTAAAATAATACCCCTAAGACCAAAAGCCATCGCCGAAGATAACCGGGACTCGCAGCGGGATGATACCTTGATATAAGCTCGAAAATAAAATCTCTACGGCTAAGGCCGCTATTAGAAAGAGAATCCGATACCATTCGGCCGTTGATAGTAACACCTCGATACAAGGTGAAAAATATCGTCCCGTCAACTAAAGCTGTCATCATGGATTCAAACCGAGCGACATTGAAATCCCCTAAGAAACGGGAGGTCGGCATGCAAAAATCTACTTTGCATCAAAATTACGAAAGGCAAAACGGGAAAAGGAGTACAGAAGGCGTGTAACAATAAAAAAAAATCCTCTCCATACAAAGCTACTACGCATACAACCACAAATTACCTACAACTAAAATCAACGGAGTCCAAAAAAAAAACAACAAACAACAATAAAAAAAGGAGGAAGAGAAACAAAGATAGCAATTCTTTCACTCGGCACCTTCTCCAGGGGATCCTCCCTCATCACCCGCACCCTCATCAGCTTTCGGCGTTGCAGAATCGTATCCACAGTTTACACGAGCCTCTCGCGCCTTCGCCCGTGCTCCTTTATATGAGGCCTCAGTAACTTTGCCCGCCTCCCACAAACTCTTGTAGATGTCCTGTTGGGCTTCGGCATGAACCCAAAGCTCATGCAAATGACGAGGAGCAGCGGTGGAGGAAGATTCGACTTGAGCCAACAGTTGATCCTTTTCGGCCTCAAGAGCAGCGACTCAGTCCGCTAGGGTCGATGCCTCTTGGTCAATCTCGCTAATGCGCTCCTCAAGCCTTGCCTCCCTCAACGTAGTCGTCGCCCTCTCCGATTCCTGCTCAGATTGGAGGACGCGGATGGTGTTCTCTAAAGCCGCAGCCCTCGCCAAAGCCGATGACCAAGCACTCTCAATACTTTCCAAACCGGCAACTTTTCTTTCCAACTCTTTCAACTTTCCCATCCACTCCACGCTCATCGCCTCGACCCTGATGAGGTTCTGATCCATCTCTGATTGCATAGACCTCAACTTCTCCTGAAGATGTTCGCACTCTGCAGCAACCCCATTAGCCAGCTCAAGCTCTTCATCCTTGGCACGGAGTTGCTCCTCCAGTACACTACTCCTGCGGATAGCCTTCATCAGTTGCTGGTCCCTCTTCTCCAACTCCTCGCCATGGGATTGAGCATCAAGGTTCGTCCTTAGCCGCTCGTGCATCTCACGGCACTTATCGCGATAGCGTCGATATTTTCCCAGCATCGTCAGAAAAATCTTGGCCCGAGTATCAGCTCTGCGAGCACTCTCAATCTCCACCATGTACGTCTAAAAAAAAGAGAGAGAGAGGGGTTAAGGCCAGGCCAGCAAGAAAAACGAAAGGGACATAAAAGGAAAGTGAAACGTACCCTCAAGACCATAGTGGCCACTTCGTGCATCAAATCAATATCGGGAACGTTCCGGAGAGCCTAACTCTCGGCAGCGGAGCACAAGAGGTCAAACTGCGGCACCAGGTCCTCCGTATTTCCCAAAAGATTGATGTCCGACAGAATCTCTAGAATACGGGATGCCCCTCCCTCCTGAACCACCGAACGGGTAAAACCCTCTTTAAATACCCTAACATCATCAGGATCAAGATCAGACTCAAATTCATAGTCGTCGACCACGACACCCTTTCCCCTTCCTGCAGCGGAAGAAGAAGCACGACCAGGTACCGAGGACGAAGGCCCGTCCGAAGTAGTAGCAACTGCCTCAGAAATCTGACCCCCCGCCACGGCCGGTGGCATATTAATCACAACGGTAGGAACTTTCGTCGATGGGTCGGACACAATAGTTGGCACCGTCTCTGTAGGCGGAACGACATCGACTCTCGCCTCAGATCCCGTCAAGGGATGGTCTTCTTCTAAGTATATCACAGCTGAAGGAGTTGTTTCAAACTCCACTCGCCGCCTTTTCGATGATTCCTCCCTTTCCCCGACACGGGAAGATTCCCTCACTAGGGAGGTGACAAGGGCTGACCTCTCCGGTCGAGGGTTGACATCCGCGTGTGCGGCCGTAGCCATAGATTCGACTGAAGCGACCCTCGATGAAGGGCAGGCAGTAGACGCCGAAGCAGGACGAGCGGACGAATTAGGTTGACGAAAAGGTAATGGAGGAGCCCTTGCTCTCTGCACTCTTCCTGGCATCGACAAACATCACATAAGAAACCGAGTAAAAAGAGAAGGAGGAATAGCGAACAAAGACAATATTACTCACCAGTGAGGGGCTTGTGTCCATATTTCTCATAGAAAGACGACCATGAACGGACACCCGCCGTATGAGGAAGGATGACGCTCACCCACTGTTGATACCCAATTTTTCCCTGTATATTCTATATATGCAAAATACTTTCAAAATAACATACATATGCATATATAAGTATGCCCAAATGTTTTAGTATTTTTCCTAATTTTTAAAGGATTTTTTTAATCAATTTTCCTATTTTGACAGTACAAAAACTAATAATTGTTCCTCAAATTATTATTTTGGTGAATAACTTATTTTATTCTCACATTTATACCAAAATATAGCTAAGGTAATTTTTACGCATTTTTACAAATTTATTTGGTAATTTTAAAGCTAAATTGCATACAATTGCAATTTTAGCCTATTTTGAGATTTAATAGCATTTTATAATTATGAAATTGGTTCCAGTATTTTTATTTTAATATTTATATATTATTAATTAATTTAGTACCTTTAATTTGTTTCCAGAAATTATCTTACTATTTTTATAAAATAAAAAGGGAAAAACTGGCTATTTAAATACTAGCCCTGTTTCATTTCAATTATAGCCCAAATCAACCCCCAATTAAAACCCAATTTCAATCTTAAACGAGCTAACCCAATTTCGATTTAACCCGCCCCTGACCCAACTAAAACCTGCCCGACCCAGATCCCCTCTTATCTTGGCCGTTGATCTCTGAGATCAACGGCCCCTATTCATTCTTGCCTTTTTTAATCCAAACGACTACCCTAACCCCCTCATTCCTCATCTATCATCCGCCTCTAAACACCCCACTCTCTCAAACTCTCTCGAATGTTCTCAAAACCCTAATCGTCTCCTACCGTCTCCAACCTCGAAACCACCGGAATCCATGGCTTCTCAGGCCATGGGAGGCTTAAACTCACCTCCCTTTGCTCTTATACGCTTGGTACTCGAAGGTTCGAGGTATGACCTCGAATGTGTTCGTTCAGATCTCCACCGATCCAAGGTTCTACGGCCATCTCCGGCTTTGCTCCGGCGTATCCTGGTCTTTTGAGCCTGATTCTGATCTTCTCCGACTCAGATCGAACCTTTTCAAAGCCTTTCTCATTTTAGGGTTCTTCTGAAACCCTAACTATTCGAGGTTTTCTCCGATTTTTCTTAGATCTGTTGTGTATCCATGCTCTATTTGAGTTTTCAAACGGTTTCCCCACCTTTCTTTCAAAAATTACTTTCAAAATCGATTCTTTTCGATTTAGGGTTTTCTGAAATGCTTAAAATGTTTCTTCGACTTTTCTTTTCCCTTTCTTTGTGTGTATTTGTCTCTACTGTGCTCATATGTTTCCTTTCTACCACACGTGTTCTTCTGTGCTTTCTAATATTTCATTTTCCTACTGTGTCTCTATACCTTGCTCTCACATGTTTATCTCACTGTGTTTCCTATATCATGTTCTCGCATGCTTTCTACTCTGTTCTTGTGCTTTTTCTTTTACCATGTTCTTGTATGGTCTTTTACTGAGTTTTATACTCCGTTCTTGAATGTTCTTTACTGTGTTCTATATGCTCCACGCTTGTGTTTCTTCTACCATGTTTTCCATATTATGTTCCCATGTGCTTTCTACTATGTTCTGGTACTTCTTCTACTATGTCCTGCTATACTATACCTTTCTACTGTGTTCTTTGATATTTTCCTTCTACTGATCCTTGTTTAGGTTTTTTCTGAGAAAAAACTTTCTTAAGCATGTTTCTTCTACTCTTTCTACTGTGTTTGCATGTGTTATCATGAGTTTCTGAAAGAAACCTCTGAGCTTGTTTCGACTACTTGCTTCCTCATCTCTGTATTTGATTCAAGGTGGAAACCCTAGAATTTGGGGGTTCTGCCGAGGTTTAGTCATGTGATTGAACTAGGGTTCCATTTTAGAACCCTTGACTCTTTCAGACTAACTTTTGAGTTTTTGAACTAAGTCTAAACTTCTTTGCTTACATACAACTCTGAACTTTTAAATTTCTTCTACACTAGACTCTTCTACTGATTGGCATGACAGTTCTTTCTTGTTTAAATGTGTCTGTATGCTTTATATGTGTGATAAATCTTTCTTCAAAGAGGTTTTCAAACTAGTGATTGGCTCAGAATTCCTTTTTAATAGGTCTAATTGATTGTTTACTGATTTTCCTTAATTCCTTAAGTGAAAACCTTTTCCATCTTTCTGACTTGGTTCATTCATACCAAATCTCAGACCTTGTGATTTCTTGGCTGTTAATTGATTTTCTTTCCTTAAATGGTACAACCGTGTATTTCAGAGACCTTGTCCTTAAATAACCTTTATGTATTTACCCTCAATTGCATGCTTTACACAAGTGTTTGATTAATTTCTTTCCCTAATTGTTTCATACCCGTTTGAATTTGAATCCCTTAATTAAAGGGAGTCTTATGTGATTGATTTACAATCAGTCTTCAATTATTTTCTTACCTTATTTCCTCATGACTTCCACACTATAAATACATGACCCCTCTTTTCACAAAGCACACACGATTAACACATTTCAGACCTCACAATTTCACAATCTCTCTTGAACTCACACTCATAGCATTCTGTCTTCCTGTTTGCACTTTGGCTTTTACAAGACTACTGCTCTTCTTACTTGTTTCCTTGAAACTGGTATGTCCTAATTTTAGTTTCAGCATCACCCCAATGTGTTTACTTATAGTCTTTATATCCATGTCTACTTTACTGTCTATGTAGAGTTCAATATTTAATTTAGCATGCCTATGTTCTGTTGCCTGTTTCTACTGTGAATCTTTGCTCCCTATCCCATTACCCCTATGTGTTTGTGAGTAGTGACTTAGGGCATGGCAACAGCAGTTGTTGTCCGAACTGGGTTCTGAATCAATAAGGTCTTAACCTCTAAAATAGGCTGGAGGGTATGCCAGCACATCTCATTTCCAGGTATGCCCATCAGCCTGCTCTTCTTGTGTTCTTGCAAATTCCCCACTTCCCTATGCCGCTATGTGCACTGATTTTAAGCTATTCCCTTTTCCTCTCCCCTTTCAGATTTCCCCTTCTGCACTTACACTCTCTCCTAGTTTCTAAGTTCTGCCCCTCTCTTGTGAGCCTTGCTTTGGGACCTTGAGTTCCCTCTGAACTTGGACACCTGAGGGCTGGCCCTTCCACACTGCACTATGTCTTAATCCTGTAATGTATTTGGGTGTGAGCACTGCCCGGAGTCCACATAAGGCTCTTAGGGAACTCTGACAAACCCCAAATGAGAGAAAGGCTTTTGAAATCGGATCTTTGGAGTTAGTTCATCTCATGTTTCAGACAAGGAGCCTGAATTAGGCTCCCCTTGGTTGTACTTTCAATTTCTGATGTAATTTTGCTTTTCTTATTCCACTCTGGGCTGTAATAACTTTGTAATAAACTTTCGGGGATGTTTAGTGAAAAGGGAGGGGTGACTATGCATGAAAAGGGTAGATAACTTGCCTATAGGAATCTCTTATATAGTATTTTTTCATATAGTTACCATGCCTATAAGATTTCTGCACTTTCATATAGTTACCATGCCTATAAGATTTCTGCACTTTCATATAGTTATCATGCCTATAAGACTTATGCATTTTCATGTAGTTATCATGTCTATAAGATTTCTGCATCTCATTTAGCTATCATGTCTATAAGAAACTCTGCATTCTCATTTAGATACCATGACTATAGGGATTCTGCACTTTCATGTAGATATTATGTCTATAGCTTCTGCACACGCACGTAGAGAATATGCCTATAGGTCTTTTCTGGTTCTTGCATACCCGCTTTTCACTAGGCAAACGTGTTTATAGGCCTTAAGTAAAACAATGCAACACCTAGATATCATGTTATAGGATTTCTGCACTCTTTTATGTCTATAACAATGTTCTAAGTTGGCAAACACATAGAAAGCATGCCTATAGGGGTTCTAATTCAAATCCGAATAGCCTCACTCGCTTATGAGTCTAAAATTAGCAGTAATAATGCATTACCAACAGCAGAACTCGTGTTTTCTAAAATTCTTTTTTAACTGGAAACTTCCCTTTAAGTTAGCA